GGTCCCGCCGCCGCCTTTAGGGCCGCGTCTGTTCGCGGGCGGGGGTGGGGGGGGCCGGGGAAACGCCGCCGTTGGCACGGCTGACATTTGCCATGCGCAGACAACATGCACTTCAGCAAACAATTCAACCTTTCCGCATCCCCGCAGCCTGCTGGAAACCCGCTGGCTTGTTTTTCTCCTCCCCTTTTCTTCGCTTGTTTAGAACTGATGCCATCTCGCCTGCACCGCTCCCTCAATTTTATTATCTTTTCCTCGCAGACGGCCCGTATCTTTCCCTCCTTCGCAGGGTTTCTCTCTGCGCTCGCTTCATCTTCTTCCCCTCCTCTTCCCAGCTCTCCATCCCTCACCCGTGCTCACAGATGGTGTTCCCAAAGGCTCGGTCCCACCAGCTTCTCCTCATCCCGCTCCCTCTCAGCCCCTCAGCTCCTGCCCTGCTGCTTGTCCGGTTTCTGCCCGCAGCGGCCCGGGCCCTGCTGTGCCTCCTGCTTCCCTGAACCCCATTTACTGTTTTCCAGGTGAGCCTTTCCCAGCTGCAAAGCGCTCGACTCCAGCGGTCCTTCCTCCAGCGGTGCTTCCTACCCAGCAGCGAGTCTCTTCTCCTCTGAAGATGACACCGTTTGGTAAAATGTACTTTTTTTTTTTTTTTTTTTAAATAGTAATAGAAAGTATGTGGCCACACAGTTACTGGAACTGAAACCTGTATTTTTTTCCATTTCTTTGTAAAAATATTACTTATTGTGCAGTAACCATGCTGTAAAACGTGTTTTTATTATTAATATTTTGAAGAAATTTGTATTTCCTGATGTACTCAAATACCAAAATAATCTATAATAAAAAAAGTCCAATCAATAGCGATAATTGTTTTGTTTTTGCTATGACATAGCCGTCTCTCGAATTCCAACTAATGGCTCGGCTGATCAATATTTTATAGCGAGTGCTGCTTACCGTGCCACTCTTACGTAAACGTTGTTGGGAAGAAAGAAATCCCTTAGCTGACAGAGCAGAACGGAAGGATGGCCTCCTGGGCTTGGCTATTAATTGATAAATTTACTAAGACTTTTTTGCAACCTTTTTATTGATTCATCTAAATGTACTTTAAGTTACGTTTTTACTTCATAAAGGATGATGAATTTATTTAATCTGGAGGACTAAATAAGTGTGACAACTTCCAAGGATTCAGAGATACTGTAGAAATTTGGTGGGAAAAGGAAACAAGTTTTTTACCTCAATGGCAAATAATTTAAGTTAAAACTACCTGTGTTTTTTAACTTTGTTATGTAAACCTGTAAGATTTATGTGGTCGCAGAGGTTGGGTGATTCGAACTTTGAGATATAAGACGTACTGAAATTCCAGCATGGATTTTTTTTAGCCTTGCTTAATGGTAGTATTGGCTTATTATTATTGCTTATGACATCAACTGCCAGTCCGGGTCAGCTGCATTTCCTTAACACCCCTCCAAAAAGGGTAGAAACTACAAAGAGATAAAGTAGGGGGGGGGAAACAGGAAATATTTTAAGCCCGTATTATTTCTAAGTAAATCAGGATGTCGTTGAAAAGAACACCAGGGTACATTTTCCTCCAGCTGAAGATGTGAGTTTTCCCTCTGGTATCAACAAAGTCGTGATTTCATTCAGTTCCTTCGGTGCAGGGTGATTAAGAGTGCATGAGCGGTAAATAAGTAAAACATCGTTTGCCTGGAGTGTAGTAAAAGTTGAGGCCCTTCAAATTGGTTTTTATTACTGAGACCTGCTCGGGTAGGCTTTAATTCAGTATTGAAGAGTGTCTAAAATGAAGATGCGGGATTGTACCTTCATTCAAAGTAAAACTCTTAGGTTTGTGTGTGTACGGCAGTAGGTGAGCGCGCAGGAAGGAGGTGGTTCAGGTGCGCGTGTGCTGCACAGAGAGAGTTCACGTGCGCGAGTATGCTCACACAGTCGGAGGAGGGAGGCCGTTCATATGTATTTTCCCTGCGTGCACACAGAAGAGACCGACACTTCAGGCATGGAGGTACGTGTGTGCAGGTGACAGAGGATGAGCAGAAGCAAAGCTCAGACTGAGAAGCCAGAGAAGTGTCTCTTGTTCCCCCGTGCTCAATAGGGAGGGGACTGGCAGGACTTTGTATGTTCTTAGAATAAACAGAATCACATCAAAGATACCGGCTACATCACAAGTTTTAACTGAGTGACCCACTTAATCCCAAATTTTGTCTGGCTACTAGTTAGAGACTGCTTTTGATCACCGCTAATGAAGTAGTCTCCCCTTTCCCAGCTTTCCATACTGGTTCGAAGGGCAGTGAAATGGGACTGAAGAAGACATCTGACTTGTCAAAACCCTCCTTTGGTAAGCTTCAGATCATGATTTCGAGATTGTTCAGAATCCTTTCTCCCCTGAGGAAGGTCCCGCTACGTTTGTTACTCGTAGACTCCCATCCTGCTCCTCCTTTTGATCTTTGGGTGAAACAGTCACCCAACACTCGCCAGCCCGGCCGTTCCCCAGCTTCCTCTGTCATTATCAAGTTCTGTGGGAACATGCACTGCGTATGCAGCAGGGAGAACGGTTACCTTGTGTTGACTTTTGTTAGCCCTGCACTGGCTGAGAAAAACCTATGGCTGCCTCCTGAAAGACTGAATTTTTAAAATTGGGTATTACGTCACTTTCACTTTGCTTTTACTGTGAAGGTTTTTCTCCACTGAATTCAAGAAGCAGATTAAATACATGTAAGCAGTAATCAAAAAATGCCAGTGATGCTTGTATTTATTTCAAGTGTGAGTAAAATCTGTCTTAGAGGGCAAGAAGTGGTTTGACGTTGTATCCGTTATTTCCCCCCCTGCATTCTGATTTGTTTTTGCCCAGGAGTTTAACCCCACAGAATATAATACTGTCAGCATGTCCCTCTAAGGCAGCGTCTGCGTGGGTAGTGTTTGTAGCATCCTTTAAGGAAGATGCTTCCTCTGGGTCACTTTCTTAGCAACCACAGTTAGCACATCTTGGTAGAGCCGGCAGCTTCCAGGCAGTATTGATTTTGAGTCCCGGGTTCATTTTAGTGTCTGGTAGTTCTGGGTTGTGCTGTTTGCCTGCAGAGAACTCTGACTGCCCTTCCAAAATACTCTGTGACTGTTTTCCGTTCTCAGAGACCAAGTTAGAGGAAATACTTTGCAGTGCAATAGCTGGGCAAATGCGTATCCTACTTGCACGCTTCTTTTAACTTCATGCCGCTAAATATACATATTTAGTCTATAGAATTGAATTTACTTCCCTTCTCAGAGGCACAGCTTTGTCAGCTCTAATGATTAGCTTTTGTTTGACGTTCATAATATTGTACTTCACCGCTTATCTGATGGAGCTGTGTGAAACTATTTAGGGGGGTTCTGAAATGTGACAACCCACGTGATGCTTTTTTAGACTTCACAAACCGCCTTCACGAGGCAGAAGAACATGACATGGGAATTGCTGGCTAGAACAACAGCGTGTATTAATGCCGTATAGTTGGTGTAGCTGGGGAGGAGGAATGCTATTTAGAAGTTTGTGGCTTTTATTGTATGCTGTCAAAGGAAAACGTACAGCCTGAAAGAAAAGGCATCGTGGATGCCACGAGTGGAGACTATTGATCCCATCTGGCTCTGGAGACAGCATAAATATTGGAGAAAAAACATTAAAACCTGTTTCGTCCATCCACAGACAGAAAGGCTCAAGGGAGACAGCCCAGATGCCCCATTCCCTACTTTCTTACCTTAATAAATAGCAGGATCTCACTTTCTGACAAAAACTTCCGCGCCTGCATC